GACAGGGACAGGGAGCACAGACAAGGACAGAGACACGGAGAGGTGACAGGGACATGGATAGAGACAGAGAGCACAGACGGGGACAGAGAGCACAGATGGGGACAGGAAGAACTGACAGGGATATGGACAGAGACAGAGACAAGGACAGTGCTGACAGACATATGGACAGAGACGGGGACAGAGAGCACCGATAGGGAAAGCGACAGAGACTGATATAATAATAATAATAATTCCTTACATTTCTATAGTGCTTTTCTGGACACTCCACTCAAAGTGCTTCACAGGTAATGGGAACTCCCCACTACCACCAGTGTGCAGCCCCACCTGGCTGATGTGACGGCAGCCATAGTGCACCAGTACGCTCCCCACACACCAGCTCTCAGTGGGGAGGAGAACAGAGTAATGAAGCCAGTTCATAGAGGGGGATAATAAGGAGGCCATGATTGGTAAGGGCCAATGGGAAATTTGGCCAGGACCCCGGGGTTACACCCCTACTCTTCTCAAGAAACAACCTGGGATTTTTAATGACCACAGAGAGTCAGGACCTTGGTTTTATGTCTCATCTGAAGTACGGCGCCTTTATTACAGTATAGTGTACCCGTCAATATGCTGGGGTATAAGGACCCACACAGACTGCAGAGTGAGCGCCCCCTGCTGGCCCCACTAACACCTCTTCCAGCAGCAACTTTAGTTTTTCCTACGAGGTCTCCCATCCAGGTACTGACCAGGCTCACACTGCTGAGCTTCAGTGGGCTAAAAGGCGTGAGTTGCAGGGAGATTCAGCTTTTGGTAGGCAGCGCTGACAGCGATATGGACAAAGACGGGGACAGAGAGTACAGACAGAGACAGAGGCAAGGACAAGGAGAGCTAACAGGGACAGTCAGGCTTTTATACACCTGCAGTCTCCTATAGAAACATCCCCGGGGGAGCAGTAAAAAAGCCAAATGCTGACTTTAAAAACTGGATCCAGGCTCATAAAGACCGACCTCATGCGAGCTACATTACCTGTGAAGCGTGTCCAGAAAAGCGCTATATAAGTGTAAGCAATTATTATTATTATTATTAACTCAAAATAAGGTCAAAAGGCTGAAGTGCTCAGTTCCAGTGTGGTGCATAAACAACGCTGAAAAGGTTTGATTTGAGCTGGAAAGGGAGTCCGCCCCAATGAGTCAACGCCTCCTGCCAAGATTTCATCACGCAAACCCTTGCTGAAATACTCCCGAAACGAAAGGCTAATCTGCCAGCGCTAGCACAGGCCTCCATATCGTGCCAGCAAAGTGTCACAGTTTCCTCTCCGCTGGGCACTGCGTGCCCGCAGACTGACCGGCGCGGGCAGTTTACCAGTCTGGGGAAGCTGAGCGCATGGGAACACAGGCAGCTTGTTTAATCACAACGGCCTTTTCCCGTTGCCCAGAGCTTTTTTGGTGACACCATCACGACAAGTCAGTCTTCACTGCGCGAGACTGAAAAACTGTGGGGTGAGGGTGGCTTGTGTGATCGTTTTCCACATTTCTGTTTTCTGCACCATCCTCCACAGTGTGGAGAAAAACCCTTCCGAGGACAAGATTAATCAATTTTTTACGAGTTCTTTAGCAAATCCACTGGCGCCAGGTACCTCTGCAGGGCCCACCCACTGCTGTGTAAAAATACCTTCTCTTACAGAGGTTTATGTAACACAGCTTCTCAGGAGGGAGGGGAGGGGTTGTCTCGCCAGCTGTGCCTCACTGTCCATGACATAAGCAAGACCCCCCCTTCGACAGCAGCCTGACCCTCGTCTGCTTTCACACAGGCCCTGCTGCACACCGCGCCCCCTGAAGCCCTCTGTGTGTTAACACTTACACCCAGAGCCGCTTACAGCCCCGGCCACCGAAACACCAGAGCCTGCAGCAGGTAAGACCTGGGCCGGCTCAAAATGCTGTGGAGTGGGAGTTTCGGTTACCACACAGGCAGGGACGCCTGACCCTCACAGCCGATCCCAAACCCCCCGAGAGCTCACTGGAGCAGGGCCTGTCCAGCACCTCGAGTCACAAAAACATCATTTTCAACACTCTTGCGCAAATGCCATGGAAAACCGAAGAGAGGAAGTATCTAACTGCAGTATTCGCTCCGAGTGAAATCAGGTTTCGGTTAGGTGCAACGCAAAGCTTGGCTATTTAGATGACCACAGCATTAAGGATGTGGTACCAGTGCAAGCAGAACCGTTTTCACTGGCTGTAGGCCAGGGACAGAACCTGCAGAACTGACACGGGATACTTTGTGCTCAGAAAAAATGTAACAAAGTGATATAGATAGAAAATAGATAGGCAACTCCTTTAATCAATATGTCTGTTATAGAGACAGGAAGCAGCTTTAACAAAGCTCCATTCACTGGTCAGTCTTCATTCCTCTCGCCCTGGTCAGACAAGAGTCGAGTAATGATCCAGCCCCTGCAGGTTGTATGAACCTTCTCAGTCAAACACAGCTGCTGTAGACAAATTGGTTTAGAAAGTAACAAGGCTGAGCTCCCACAGCTGAGATCTTTGAATTGATCGACTTTGGGTTTATAAGTCTTGCAGGAGGGTACAAAAGGCAGTTCTTAGGGAACTGTAACTTTATTACCCTTTTGTATCCAGAAGGGCAGTTATTTTGCTCCTGTGCCAAGCCTCTGGGCTGCTTAACGGTCACAGCTGCCTAGTGACCTCATTTCCTGTCACCTGACAGGTGTCCCGTCGGCAGTTGAGACCTCAGCCACGTCAGGGCACAGGTCACTGCACTGAGAAGACCTGAGGTCCTTCACGATGCGCTTGTGTACAGGCTTCAAAATAATGAAAACACGTCCGCCCACACAGAATACTGAAAGAGAGCCTCAAACCATTTAGTACTTTGTACTGTAAATACCAGTTTTGCGAGAATTCAGAACGGTGTGTTGTCAATTTCAAATGCACTGATTTCATCGGTTCTCTAAGTAACGGTGAGCGAAATACAGTACACACAACTGCAGTCCTATATATAACATATGTATTACCCTTTCTGCAATGTGCTGCTCCAGTTTTGCCTCTTCCTGAGCGAGCTCTGTAAGCGCACTTTATCATGCACTGCGTAGGGACTTGTGTGTGTCCAGTGATGGTTATACAAACAAAACGAAAGAAAAGGTTTGTAACGCTTGGCTCCTCAGCTGCAAAGCATCATTCAGCAAAGATCTAAGACCAGCAACCTCCAGGAAACGACAGCACGAATCTTTAAGATACAAGAAAACTTCACGTCCCGTCTGCTAAGAGTTACAGCCACAGGTGCTCTTAAATCACTCCGCAGTCCTTGGTTTATCGGGCACATAGACGAGCCAAACGGTTTTACTGGAGAAAAGAGAGAGTGAAGGAGACATCAGCCCCCTGTATTACCGAAGAGAAGCCTCGTCTCCTGTTTTTCTCCCGGTGATGAAAACCCGCTCCTGTATTTCCAGCACCGTGCCGGCTCACCCAGCTGAGCGAACCCCCCAAATTCACATATCGAGGTGCTGTCATTTTCTGGGGCTAGCGGCTCTTGTGACTGTTTTTGGAGGAACAGAGGCACACACCAGCTTTGCAAAGCCATTTTCCCAGCTTATTACATCTCCATCGTTCCCATCTCTGGTGTCTATTGGCAACATCCCCACCTCGGTGGGTGGCATTATGGACAGGGATCGAACCCGGAATGAGTAAGACATGAACACACGGTATCCCCCCCCACCCCCACATACACACACACCACACACACAACACGTACGCACACATCTTTTTGTTTTTACAAAAGCAGACCACCAGCACAAGAACATTACCGTGGTGCGCAAAACCTGTGGCAGAGCCCCCATTAGCACCAGTTCCCCCGACAAATCTGCGGGTCCCCAAATTCGTGCCTTCTACCCTCGCTTCCTGCCGCGATATCCCTACTCTGCCCACAGTGTTTTTTTTTTTAAGTGGAAATCCTAGCAGATGCACCCCTACCTCACTGATCCCCCGATGAGTCCCGTTCTTCCCAACTCCCAGGAACGTCTTTTTTTCCCTGTTTAGTATCGGCGAGCTGCCCGCTCGGAAAAAAAAATGCCCCTATTGGAGCGTGAGGGGTGTGCATCGCATTGCTGCGGCTGCTACTCCATAATAAAATTATCCGTGCTCGGAGAGTGAGTCTATACACGCACACACTGACAAATCTTCTTTTTCAGTCCGATATTGCAACGAGAGGTAGAGGGGCTTCGCTGAGAATCGCAAATTCGGCCATGGAGGGGTTGTGCGGAGAGAATCCAGATGTGGTGGGAATTTCGGTCTCTCGCTTCCTGTCTCTTTCTGTCTCTGTCTTTCAAATCCGGATTTGTGCTTTATCCTCTGCCCCTGGTACAGTGGGATTAGCCCCCGTCTCCGAGCCTCTAACCCTGCCCAGTCTCCTACGTCTGTGACACCCCCTTAAACAAGAAGAGACCCTCGGGTACCTCAAGCTTTTAAGCGGCTCTTTGGGTGTTGTAGTCCTTTTCACTCTCCCGCCCCCGTAAACTTCACTTTAATGCGAAAAGAGAAAACTACATCGTAAGGGACACAATCCGGGTCAGTGTGGACTGGTGGTATGGGTTTGCGGGTATTGTAGTTCACAATTCACCGCAAGCCGAAACAGCTCCACTCAAGGACAGCGGGATACTACAACCCCCAGCAGGCACTGGGAGAGACCGAGGCGTGAGGGTCTGCAGTCGGGGCTGCCTCCCGACAGCAGGCATGCGCGCTTTCACTGGCAACTATCAGTATCGCTGGTCGGTCTCGAAATAATTTATGGAGGACACTTTAAAACCAGGTGTATAAAAGAAGGCGATTTAAGCATGGTTATATATATATTCATATTCAAGTTCAAAGAGCTTTATCGGCACTACCGATTAATTACAGTGTTGCCAAAACAAATACAATTAACAACATTTACATGTGCTGCGCAATCATATAATTTTACATTTACATACATATCTGTTCCTCAGGCTGGGACAGGAGATCACACACTGTATTATTATTATTGAGAGACAGGCTCACTGTCTGTTCCTCAGGCTGGGACAGGAGATCACACAC